CACCCACCTTTTTTTTTTTCTCTCGCGAGGTTTTTATGTTTGGGGACGGAGAGACAGTGAGAGGGAAAGTGACAAATCACCTCTGGGAAGATGGCCATGGGGCAATCCCTTCTCCTCCATTCTCCCAAGACCTCGGGCACTCACATACACACCCTGCCTGAGGTTTAAGGCACGGGACCGGGACTGGAACCACAGTCCAGCCACGTAACCGCCACGCCATCTGCTGGGCCCTGCCTTCTGGCCTTCCAGTCCCTGAATCTGTAGGGACACGGAGCCTGGGGGGCAGAGTGGTCAGCTCCTGTGCTGCCCCGGGAGAAGGCGTGCACTCAGATCACAGGTGACAGGGGCGGCAGGAGCCGCCCAGACCCCGGTAGGAGGTGTCGCCCACCTGTGCCGACAGCCGGCTTTGTGTCCCAGGTGTACGCGGGCGTCGAACAGACTCTTCACGGAGAAGAGCTCCTTGACGTTGAAGAAGTCCGAGTGCTTGAGGGGCTCGGTCAGGACCCTGTCCTTGAACTCTGCAGTGACGAGGGGTGCTGTGGGCCCCCACGGCCGAGCGTATCCCTCCCACCTGCTCCCTGGCTCTCCTGGAGTGGACAGGCGGGGATGCTGAGGGGCCCCAAGCTCGGAGAAGCTCTGGAAGCTGAGGGCTGCAGCGGGCTCTGGCCACCACTCCCTCCAGGGCACGGCTGGTGGCCCCAGCACAGTTCTGCACCGGGGCAAGGTCAGGGGCCTGACCCCCCAGGAGTCCAGCCACCTGGTGCTCCAGGTCTGTGGGTCCTCACGGACCACTCAGGACTGCCTCGGGCCCTGTTACCCCTGGAAGGTCACTGTCCCTATCGCCTTCACCACACCTCCAGCCCCTCAGCCAAGAGAGCGGTCACTACAGGCCTGCTGTAGCGGGGCACACTGTGGGGAGCTGCTGGGGGCCAGGAGCAGGTAGGCACCCACCCTCTCCCAGGCCCTGGGCTCTCCAGGGTGCCCGCCCACCCAAAGGCACCCCAGATCCTGGGGGGCGGGGCGATTCCAGACCCAGGGTAGGGGTGAAGGGCAGGGAGGGGGCTCAGGTTACCACTGCTGTCCTCCGCCTGGCTGACCACCGGCGCTGGCTCGCTGCCCAGGGTCCTATGAGGG